TGGGAGTTTTCTAATCGGGGGGGGACCCCGGCCTGCCTCTCCCACCCCTCTCCTCCCTCCTCCATCCGCCCACCCACCCACTGACCCCGCTCTCTCTCTCTTTTTCACGCATTTCCCCGAGTGGCCACCAAAGCCCAGCTCCTGTTGCACTGACGGACAACTCACAGATCTGAGTGACCCCAGCACACCCCCAAAAACCTCCTTCTCCATAGCCAGATTTACTCCGCTCTCCATAGATTTATCTTTGTACCTCCTCCTCCCGTCTCTCCAGCTTTCAGTCACTGATTTTCCTTTGATTGACCCGTTAATTTTCATGCCAGCGTCGTGTAATTGCAACCCTTAAACCTTTAAGGTAGAAGCCGATCACACCAAAAAAAAAAATCATTTTTACAAATGTTCTTCTGTTGGAGAGTCAAAGTTGGAATGTTTAATATTAAGTAAAAAAGAGCCTTATATTTGCTATCTGGAAATATATAACTTTAAAGCACTAATCTCATAAGGCTGTGCTTTGCCACAGTAGTCCTTTTTATTTCTGTCCCAGAGCAGCAAACAGCAGTCCTTTTTTTCTACCCTATAGATAGAGAGCAATAATTAGAGCTCATACAGTAATGGCAGGAGCTAACACTCCGTGCACAATGCTGTGATCATTAGTTCATCCATTAATGTGTTAGCCACTCTGGTTACACCCTGCAAATGGTTGCAGGCTGTGATGATTAGTCTAAAAAAAGCTTAACTGGTTCCACACCGAAGGCTCAAAACTCCACTTTCTTTAAAAAAAAAAAGAAAAAATCCACTTTCTTTCAGAAAAAAAAGAAAAAATCCACTTTCTTTAAAAAAAAAAGAAAAAAGAAAAAATCCCAGATGTGCACAAAAGCAAAAGGGACAAAAAGAGGCTTTCTTAATTATGTCATATTAATAACTTCTAGCGGCGATAGCAATTCTGCTTTGTGAAACACACATTTGAAAAGGAGAAGAAGATGCCAAAGAGTTTGCAGTTTTCAGAGTTTGGATTTGCTTAAAACGTATGAAAAAATTAGTTAGTTAGTTATATGTATTATTTACTCAAAAAAGAAAGAAAGAAAAGTTAAACCTCTGCAAGCCGTTTAAACCAGGTTCTATTTTGTTGTCAAGCCGTCTCAGTGAAGAACAAGAGGTCCCACGGTGCCTTTATGGCAACGATGGCGGCCTAATTATCCACTTTCTCTTTGAAGAGTACAGTAAAGTGGGTTGGCGGTTAGTTTGCAACAAAAAACCAAAAGCAAACGTGGCTTTAAGCGTTTTACACGCGGTCTACGTTCAGACTCACGTGTTTCTCCGGGACCACGGGTTATTAATATATGTGGAATCTGAGACACCTGGAAGCTTTTCAGTGAGCTTTGAGTGATTTACATCGGAAATCCAAGACTTACGTCGCACATGAGTGCTGCCTGGTG